TAAAATCATCACCTAAGAGAAAATGATTTGATTTTTTATCAAATTCTCTCAACAAGTTCTTTAAGGACGGAAACATAGAGAGATCAGTTTGGAGAATTTGTGTGTGGATATTGGGGCTTAAAGGGTTAAGTCATTTTTGGTCACGCATGCGCCTAGTACTGCGAGTGCTGACAGAAGGAAAGCCATCTTAAGAGGAGATGGACAAACGCGACCCTTTGCGCATGCGCAAGGCCTATTTCCCTTACTTAGCAATTGGAAGTAGAATAACCACTGCTGAAGATTATAATCTGCTACTAACGAGCCCCTATTGAAACACTCCTGACATCTACCTCTGTTTAATAAGTGAGTACAAATATGATAAGCCGGCATTAGGATTTAATGCAGCCGAAACCAGTTGTGGAATTGCACGTGACATTTTAGGCATCCTATAGCTACTGTTGAACAGTTACGACTTTTAGTTATTTCGAGCAACAACAATTTGCCGTCTGCCCCCTTTGAATTACTCTGATTCTAACCTTTCAGATCTGTTGGAAGGAGACATCATGCTGGAGAGTATTGCCAGTTCAAGAGTATCAGTCAATAAGCAAATACACCTTTGGCCAGGAGGCATTGTTCCCTACGTTTTTGACTCTGGGTTAAGTACGTTGACTCAGTTTTTCTTAGCCCTTGTAGCTGGCAGGATTGTTTTTGTGCGTGTGAGAGTTTTGGAGGCTTTGCCGTGAGAAAATTCCGCACTGCTTCGCTGCTCCTCTGCCACTCGCGCTAAGAATCCCGCCGGCCACGCAGTCTAAGTTGTTCTTAAACTAACCCTAGTTAGAATAATGTGTCCTGTACTATCAGGATCCTTGAAGAATTTTTTCCTTGAATAACGTTGGTAAAAAAAAAAATTATTAACTTGTTTTTTTCAGAGTTTATCCAATAAAAAATTAAAGAATTCGGCGAGCTTGACTCAACGCGTGTGCTGACTGACGAGCGATGGGCGTGATTAAAACAAAACATCGGAGAAGCTTGTAGTTTTACAATTAGTTAATAATGGCGGAAAATTTAACAACAACTTACTTAATTTGTCGTTGAGGAATCCTTTCTGAGATAGACTGCCATATATGTTCTGTATTCAGCATGAGTCACTAGTAACCTTGTCACCTTTCTAAAATATTTTATTTCGTTGACAGCGAAGCTTGCAAGAACAGTGATAACCAAGGCAATGCAGGCATTGAAAACTCTTTCGTGCGTTCGTTTCATTCCTCGGGCAAGTGAAAAGTACTTCGTTAGGTTTATACGAGGACAAGGGTGAGAACTATATTTTTCATAGGTTATGGACTCCAGTTTGCCAATAGATTCGACGCAGATGTAGTGACCTTATGGTTACGCTATGTGTTCTAACGTAACCTGAAAACCAGGTTAATCCACTGAGATTCAAACAGGCTTTGACATATCCTATTTGGCACAACATGGAATTATTGATCGCGTGAGACTATTTTCTGGCTTAATGTGAATTTTTATCGCGGACATTGATCTCAAACTAAAAAACCGAAAAACTAGAAGGACAAATCGGGAATAAAGTGCACACACACAAAAACTTTCTCTCTAAATCAGGTATTCCCGGGTATACCCAGAGGCAGACGCGACCAATGACAGAGAGGAAAACTGATCATGCACCGGGGATCTTGTTTAGTCTTTTCCGGGCGCTTTCTAAAAGGCCGTTTCCGAGTTGTCCAAGCCCCTTTTTCAAAGCGAGGCTAAGTGCAAGGCCATTGATATGGAAATTATTTTTTATTCTCATGCTCATTTTTACAAGAAAGGTTTTGCATTGGCCTTGCTTGTTTCGAAAGTGAGAATGGCTGGAACTCGAAATATAGCCTATTCTCATTTAATTTCATTTTCTTTGCTTACACACTCCCCTGTGAACCTTAAAAGGGAGGCCGAACCAGATGTACAGCAATACTGAGGATCACGAAAGCGCTTTAAAAAGACAAGGCACTTTGGAAGGTTCAACGTGAAAATCGCTTTTCAAGTTGAGTCTTCCCACGTGCCTTTGCGTTTCTGAAGCTTCTCCGCGATCTCATGCTCCGCAAACTGAAAATTCCAAATGACCCCCTGCCCTGCTACTACAGCCAAAAATTCCCAGAAGCCCCTGTACCCAAGGCAGCCTTTTTTCTGCATTTTCTGCGTGTATGCACGCAGCTTGGACGTTTTTTTCTCTTAAAATTTAGCTCAGCTGATCCAAAACGTAACTAGAAATATGGGTAGAAGGACGCTAAAATTAATGGAGTTAAAAAAGAACACAATGACGAAAAAACAAGGTCATAGTCTACTTCAGCATCCCAGTTTTTTACTCAAATTAGTGGAGAGGGTAAAAATAAGTATACAAGGTTAAACCCCTTCCTTTTGACCTTTAGAATTCATTATATGTTCTAGATGCTATTCCTGTGTTGGCCGGACCTTGGACTCCAATGGTCAAGTTGTTTCCATAGGATATGGATGTGAACACGAGGCCATTATCCTACACGAGTTAATGCACACTCTGGGCTTTTTTCACACAAGCTCGAGACCGGACAGGGACGCCTATGTCATTATATATTCAAAGAATATCAGACCTGGTAAGGAACAATGTATCAGTCCCTTAAATTCAGGATATTATACTAGTGAGTGTCTGCCACGGCATCAGAAAGATAGAGACCTTCAAATTGGGTTTCGAGTATAGTTTAGAGACCCATAGATTCGAGGAGTAAACATTCCCATAGACATCCTGGCCGGAAAACTTCAGTTTACTTTTTTTCACCAGAAAACTTTACGGTTTCACGGTTAACTGGTAGCTTATAAAAATTCATATTTTTTTAATAAAAATGTTTAGGAAAGTCTGGACAAGCCTATGTGATTTGCTGTCAGATATTTTGCAGAGACTGTATGTTGAGTTTATTTTAATTCAACGAAAATCAAATCGACGAAAATCAATCTAAGTTAGATGTATGAAATCTTATTCCAAAGTGATTGGTGAATGCTTTTAACCTCCCATGGAATGTTTTTGGGGGAGTTAAGAACTTCTGTTGGACTAATTGGCTTTTGAAATTGTATGTTCTTTAAGGATTTGAGGGAAACTTTAAAAAGTACAGCCATGGCCAAGTCGACCGTTTAGGGGCACCATATGACTACACATCACTCATGCATCTGCCACGTAATAGCTGGAGCATAAAGGGAAGAAATACAATAGAGTCACGTGCCGGACCCCACGTGGTATTGGGTCAACGAAAGGGCCTTTCGGTGGTGGACAGACAGCAACTTAATCAGTTGTACAAATGTAGCAATAATCGAGGTGAGTTGTCGTGTCGACTGTGGCGTGTCACACTGAACTAATGAGAATCATTGTAGTCGAAGACACTGAACTTATCATAGCTCTGAAAGGGCTGTTCAGAGCCCAGTATTTACCTTGAGCTTAGCTCGGGAACATTCTTAAGGCACGTCATCGCCATCATCATAATCATCATGATCATCGTCACCATCGTTATCACTATGGTTACCATCATCATCACCATCATCATCGTCATCATCATCATCATCATCATCATCATCAATTAATTTACGGAACGCCTTAGACTTTCCACCAGCTTTGTTCACAATACGCACACAGTTCTAAATACATATTTCATTTAGCTGGGATTGTATAATTCAATAGCAAGAGTTTCTAAAAGCAGTTCTTCATAGAAGCGAAGATACTTCTTGTATATGCAACTTAATTCGTCGATCAGTACGCGAAGATGACGTACTGCAACGAAGAGACACCAGAACTATAATACACAGTATTACCATCTTGTTTTTGATTCCTTGTTGCTCATAAAAAAGAATGTTTTCTAATTTAACCCGCAACTCCGTTTTAACCAAATGTCTTAGATAAAAACATGAAAACATATTTCAACTATTTATGCGAACGTATCTTTTTCGAGGTTGTTACTTCGCTGTAGGTCTTGAAAAAGGCAAAATAAGTGACTCGCAACTGCGTGCTAGCTCTTCCCAGCTCTACTTTGAGCCGCATCAAGCTCGGCTACATCTGAACGCGGGTCCGAAAGGGAATGGCGCCTGGTGTACCGCAAGGAACGCAATAGGAGAATATCTGCAGGTAAAATTTATGGAGAATTTGAATTCGCTTTGTTAAAGCAAAGAGGCACTAGCCTGTTCACAGACCCTACATTTTGTTTTTAGATATCGTCGCGCGCGCGTATGGAAATAAAAGCCGCGGGGGATTTATTGACCGCAAGCTCCAGGGGCCGGGTTGGTATTGTAAAAAAAATAGGCGCCTTGTTGGCGCATGTGACTACTGCTGAAGAAGAAAAGGTATTAAAAGTATAATTGTTTTAAATAGGCTGTTCTTTGGATAGTAATGTATTGAAAACGGTGAATATCGAGCGATCATGGCAAGCTTTGTGAAGCTGTATGATGATTGAAATTTTGATTTTATTTACCTCGAATATAACAACTTGCTTAAACAAATAAAGTTGATGATGATGATGAGACGATGAAGGTAAGGTAAAGCGTGTCTGTCTGCTGAGCCTTGGCACAGGGATATGAAAAGATGTTGGCAGGCAGTCAAGAGGTTAATATGGACTTGGTTTGTTATAAAAATAGGACTCAATGATTGGCAAATGAAAACTTTTTAATTTTAAAGATTTTAATAAACGTATGAAACATGAGTTATTACAAACAAGAATAGTAAACAGTAGTTTGCACGTCATTGTTTTAGAATTATGTTTAAGTGAACAATTTTAACATGTTTTTTTTTGTAAAACTGGTTTTTGTATCAATTTTCAGTGGTGACGTGACTAAACAGAACTTCAATCTTAGATGTAACTACATGTGTACATCCTAGAGTATGAACTGTTATGTTAACCAAAACGTGTTTATTTTTGTAGCAATTCTTAACTTACTATTATGTTAACCCAAACCCGTTTTTTGGTTTTTGTAGCAATTCTCAGTACTAGCAAAACTTAACAGAACTGTAATGATAGATGTAACTAGATGTACATCCTAGATTATATACTACTGTGTTAACCAAACTGGTTTTTGTAGCAATTCTCAGTACTAATAAAATTCAACGAAACAGAACTGCAATGATAGATGTAACTACATGTACATCCTAGAGTATATACTACTGTGTTAACCAAACTGGTTTTTGTAGCAATTCTCAGTACTAATAAAATTCAACGAAACAGAACTGCAATGATAGATGTAACTACGTGTACATCCTAGAGTATATACTTCTATGTTAACCAAAATGTGTTAATTACATGTTAGTTACTCCTTTTGGGCAATCTTGAGGACTACTTTGGTTGTTGTGTTGTATGTGAAGTTTACTGCTGGAAGATTTAATAAACTGTTTGTGAGAATGTCCCGAGTTAATGTTGGCTGGCTTTTTTGGTTTTGAATTGCCAGTATCTGCTTGATTGGCTCCTCAAACAATGTTAGTTCTAGGGACTTCTCATCAGAGAACTGTACCATTACCTGAGCATACCAGTGTTGAGATGCAGGTTTAAGTTTTTGCTTCATGTGACAATTTTTGCACTCCAAATATGCTGCTCCAGTAGATTGCTCTAGTTTCTTTTTACACTTAAAGCAAGAGAAGTACGAGTTGATGGAAACTATTCCCATTATTTCTCCTTCGACGGTTGTGGATACAAATTGTGTAGTGTCCTGAGTTAGTGGCACAGCTAGGATTTCAGTAAAATCTTCTGTGAGTCTGATTTCAGTGCCATATTTAGCAGTGTTTAAGTAAATGGTTTCATTGTATTTGTCCTTTCGTACAGTTACATTGTGGAAGATATATGTTCGGTTGTTTTCCACTTGGTTAATAAAATTCTCCCACAATACCATTTTCATTGAAGCTGTAGGGTCAAGCAGAATACAGTTCACAAGAGTTAAATCTCCTGCTTTTTGCTGTTTGGACATGTTGGTTAGTTTGGCCTTTACAGTTATATGCTGGCCAACTCGAACAGATTTGACTGACAAAAGGGTGGTTGAAGATTGTATTTGTGATCTTTGGAAGTCCAGTTCTGGATAGTGTTCGACTATGACATCATGTCCCATCAACAGATCACTGGTGTTTGCATTGGTGTCTACTTTGAACCTTTTAATTTTTATGGGGCTCTTCTTGTCCTGAAAGTCTGCAAAAATCTTGCGCTTACTTGGTGAGAAGCACACGGCTCGGGTAACTGATTCATCCCTCCCTTGCAACTGGCATTGAAAAACTTTTAGTTATACACAGCAGAAACATTATGTATGTATCCCACAAATTCTTGACTTGAAGAAGGAGCACCAGTGCTGTGAGTAGCTGTTTGCTTTGAGAAATCATCCATGACTGAAAAAAAGAGAAGACTATTAATAAATAAAGGATTATTGCCTATAAAAAATAAAGGACACAATATAAGCTAAACCAATCCTTTGAGTATATAATTACTGAAATATAGTGGATATTTACCTGATGATTACTGTTAGGGGAGAGGGAGGGTACAGGGATGAAGGAGTTATAGAAATTACTGAATCTTTGTAGTGATTATTATGATTATGTAGTCATCTTTTAGTATGGATTGTATTACATCTAGGTGTGGTTGTGTCCTTATCTGTATAACAGGCAAGAAAAGTTTGAATTGAAGTTATGTTTCTGTATTGACATAGTTTATTAACGCACATATTGTTTTGTGGTCTGAAAAATAAGTTTCTAACAAGTGTAACTTTGCCTGAGATTCTGGCAGGTTAGTATAAATGTGGTCTATAGCTGTTTTGCTGTCAGTGGTATACAAAGATACTAACTGTCTGTAGTTATTTTCTGTAATAAATAGATTATATAATGGAACTCTATCAGTTTGATTTAACCAGTTTACATTAAAATCTCCAAGGAAAATATTGTACTGTGTAGTTGTATGTAAAAGTACCTGTCTTAATGCAATACACAATTGTGTTACTGGCACTTTTGGGGATCGATACACACCAATAATGGTGAGATGAGGTAGATACATGCATTTAATGATAGTCAGCTCAACACCATTCCTATTTAAACAATAAGGAGAGCCAGGAATTAATTGGATTCTGCTGTATACTGCTGTACCTCCAAACGGTCTTGTAGTGTTATTAGAGTCACAGTCATTTCTAAACAAACTATATCCATCAATGGCATACATGCTATCATGATCTGAATGAGTAAATCTTGTTTCTGAAAAAATGCTTATGTCAGTGTTTGAGTAGTTGAGATCTTTACGTATATCATCTATATGTTTGTGTAATGACCTTGCATTAAGATAGCATATTTTTTTTAAAGAAAGTGGACTTTTACTATAAAGAGGAGATACTGACAGACTTAGACCTGAATTTCGTAACCGTCTCATTTCTGTTTGTACATCAGGACTGACAGCTATTTTCTTTTCACAAAGATTAGTTATATGTAATCCTTCTATGGTTTTAACTCTGCTAAGACCCACATAATGTATGTGAGGTATTGCCTTTTTAGTATCAAAGTTAACAACTATTCTACTCTCAGTGTCACCTTGTGATCTGTGAATAGTTTTAGCAGCAGCAGGCCTCAGAGGGAATTGTTTCCTCACAACTTGAGCTGTTCTATTTCTTCCTACAGCAAATTGTGTAGTAATTGGTTTGATAGGTGTCCAAGTAGTTTCTATACCCTGTGCATACAAGTGCTTATTATCACATCTAGTTTTTCCCCCTACATCAGCATGATCAAACTGTACCCATATTATACCAGATGGTTTGTTTTTCTGATGTAATTGTACTTTTTAACAACATTTCCAGCACCATTTGTCATGCCATCTTCAGTTCTTATATTCATTGCTAATTCTGTTCTTTCACCTTCAGCTACATGAAGATTAGAGACAATTTGTTTTGTTTTCCTTGGGTCATCAGGTATCTGCTTCATTATTTTATCCCTAAGCTCTGAACAGCTTGCTCCTATTACACTATCTTGCGATTTAATAGAGTACTTTCTGCCTTTTGCTGCTTGGTGCACCTTTTCATTGAAATCATTTACCTTTTTGTTTTGTATAAAAAGATGAGGAATATCCATTAGGAAGTTGAGGTCACTTTTTTCATCAAACATTCTTCTTTAAGTTTCAGAATGTCGTCAATTGTATGGATGCCTTCTCTTAATCTGTTCAAGATTTCAGCAAATAATTTGCTTTCTCTCTGTCTCATAATTTCATGTAGCTCGAACATTTTAAAATGTTTTTGCCATAGGTTTGGAGCAAGGATGCTGTATTCTGAGTTGTCTAAATCTTTAAATATATAGCCATCCATGACAGGCTGAAGTTGAAATAAATCACCAATAGCAATTATACTGATACCTCCAAAGTCATCCTTACTACCTTTTATATCTTTAAGTCTATTGTTGATTTGTACATTAAACATGGTATTTCCTACCATTGATATCTCATCTATGTATATCAGTTTCACACCTCCCAGCTGGCACCTGAGAGTATTTAGTCTACTAGAATCCAGTGGCTTATAGTCTTTCAAAGATTGACAGGCTGGTATTGCAAGAGCACTATGTATTGTGTTGCCTTTGATATTATAGGCTGCTTTACCAGTAGGAGCTAACATTAAAACCTTTACTTGATGAAAATCATCTCCAGCTTTGGTGTTATAGTATTTTAAAGCTGCTTGATACAAGGCTTTTGTAACATGTGATTTACCAACACCAGCTCCTCCACTGAGAAAACTATAGAATGGATCATTGGATGTTTTCATAAGATGTAAGCTATGGTAGAAGAATTCCTTTTGTTCTTTATTTAGTGTCTGGACCATATTACGGTATTCGCCATCTGGTATTTCATTTAATATAAGTCGCTCAGTGTTAGCTGCAGTAGATGGAATGCCTATGTCTTCTGAGAGGTCATAGCTCTCGGTGAAATCAGGGTGCAAATCTTGTGCACCTTCAGCCTCATCATGAAGTTCTATATCCTGAGTATTGGGTGCTATCAAATCATAATTATTGCCATTTTCTTCCATGCTACTTAATTTTTCTTCAATTTCATCTAAGTCTTGACTACAAACAGCATATAATTTCATTTGCTCCTCTATTTGTCCTTTTAATAGCAAGTAATTTTCTTGGTATGAAGAACAATTGCCAATCAAGTCAGTGTTTTCATTTCTCCATGATGTGAATAGCATGATTAATTCTCTATAATGTTTTTCAGGGTCTGCTATCTTATTAAAACCAACACTTCTAATAATTCTTGCTTTTGAACGCTTTTTATTCTTTTGACATTTAAATTTATTTTGGCAAGTTGCATTATGATCATCATCACCATTTTCATCATCATCATCATTTTGTTGTTCATCAATTGATGTTTCTAAAAGCAGATCATCAATATCTGTTTCAAATGACTTTTTATCATATGGCTTTCCTGGTAAGTCATACCACGCAGCCCAGTCAGCTAATGTTAAGTGTCCCAATTTTGCAGGACGTTTGGTATATCTATCCAGTAACCCACTGGCGTAGATTTCTTCAGAATCGTCTTCCATTTCTTTGATATCACTAAAACTTTTCAAAAGTTTAACTCTATCTTCTGGAGGTGAGGTATTGACAAACACTACCTGACGAGATGATTTCCTCATTGGTAATTGCAACACAATATATACGGCTTCTTGTGCACTGATTTCAACATTGTTTAGGAATTTATTGCCTATATCTCTGACTTGTTGCTTAATAGAAGCATTGCCTTTTCTGGTTTCATTACAAGCAACTCTCAAAATTTCACTGATGCCTTTTTGCGCTTTTGAGATGTAAGAGACGATATACATTGCACATGCATAAACATCAAGAACAAATTGAATGTCCATGTTTGCTCTCCATGCACTAAGGCAAGAACTGTTGTAATTATTTACCCGTAATTCATTTGGTTGTCGTTTTAAAAATATGGTAGGAGAGTTTAAGCTTGACCTGATAGCAAGGAGGTATGTTTCCTCTGAGACATTTAAATTTAGAAGCAGTTGGTCAAATGTT